TGCGTCAAAGAAATATTTTCTATTTCGTTTTGATGATAAATATTCGGAGTTGCGGAGTTTTTTTGAATTCATCACTTAGTATTATATGAGCAAACAATTTTGGTAAAATTTTCCGCACTGTATAATTATACATTTCTGCTTTTTTTTTTTTTAAAAAAATCATAATTCTGGTTAATAAAACCAAAATATACGATATTTAAATCTTTCATTTGGCAAATTTTCCTTTCATATGATAAATAGTTTACCGGAAATTCTGGTTTTGAAAATCATAGTTCTGATTTGGAAACATTTAGTAAAAAATTCAAAATAGAAAAGTAAATTTAACCGAATAAATAGTTTTATGCGATGCTCTAGAATGTTATGATAAAATTACCAAATTTTGGCATTTATCAAATTTTATCTCGTGTAGTAAAACCATATGTCACCATTAGTTTTACCATAGCCATTACCAAAGCGATTCGATAAATATTACAGAGCTTTTGGTGTTACCATACAGCTAGAAACATGATAAATTTAAACATATTCTGACAGTTTTGACAATACTTTTTTTTCGCAGTGTTTACAATAATTTCCCAATAGCTCTGAGATGCAGTCAGATTTAGTCGAGATGAGTATATAGTTATTCAAAGACAATTTACAAAAATATTTGCCGCACGAAGAAGAAGCTTTTATTGTGCTTTGTCATTTTCATTCTAAACATGCTAATTTTGATGATAAAATGTTTGGTATCCTTGCGACAAGGCAAAGTTGATAAAAAAAAATCATTGAAGATTTTCCAATGCTGTTCAGCATTTCTCTGTATGACATAAAAGGAAATGCTTTGAAGCCGTTTCTGCTAGTTGTCAAGTTTAAGGATGAAATTGCAATTATGCACGATCAAATGGTTTTTCTAGCAACCGAAAAGTAAATAAGAATTCGAAAAACAAATTTAAGGGTAGAAAACCGAGCTAAATGGTACTAGGTTAGATTTTATTCTAATTGAATGGGAAACAAAATCTCTTGCACCATATAATAAAATAATGCTTTTTGTTTGTTTGTTTTTTAATATATTTTTCTTAATATTGATTTATGAATCTGTTTGTAATCAAATAGAAAAATAATTGTGAAACAATCGGAAAGGGAGAGGGGTTGGTGAGACGCATCAAAACTTAGGCGGATCCCTCAAATATTAGCAAATAAGTCAACATGATTTACAATTGAAACTTTATTATCTCTCTTATCCTTTTGTTTGACTATAATCGTTAAAAAGTCAAATTGGAAAAATTAAAGTATTCTGCCCTAAGAGCGTCCTGAAAATTGGAAAATTTTCCCAAAATTTGACCTTGACTTTTCTTACATAAAAAAGATAACAAAAAAATCATTAATTTTTTTTTGAAATTTCTATCGAAAGAAAAGATGAGAGATTCTACGAATTCCCACAAATAAAAATTGAAATATAAAATTGAACATAAATTTTACGCAGAAAACAAATCAATTTTTTAAATTTTTTTCTTTCTTCAAAAAAAAACTTAGCGACTTTTAAATATAATTAATTCCTTTGACTTAATTTTATAGTTATCTTATTCCTTATGTACAGTACTGTCTTGGCATAATACTCCTCCTTGTTTGCGATTTTTGCATTATTTTTCTTGCCGTCCGTTGTAGACTGACAGTAAATACACGGCTGCCGGTAGCACACAGGTCAAGCATCATAGGCTGCCGTCAGTGAGCGGATAGGTGACCACTTTGATCAGCCTGCGTAGTAACCGAGGGTGTGCGGTATCAGTCCTCGTTCGAATGTTCGAACGGGAAGTGCTCGACTTCACGCAGGTCATTGGGCTGCCAAGGCAGGGGAGCATCCCCTCTGCAGAGGATCAATAATGTGATGCAATGTCTTCGGATCATCCTCAGGAATGTTTCCCAATCTGTCGCCAATAGCCCATTGTGCACCTCTAGTGTGACGTAAATAAATTACTACTACTACTAAAATATTTTGCCTTCATCTTTCGATTAATCCTTGTTATAACATTGCAGTGTTTCTATGTCTATCGCACTAACTTCACCCTATTGCATATTTTCAGAATTGTATTAGAAACCTTTAATTCTACTTTTTATTTGCTGTAGTATTACTATCTTTAAAATACGTTCTTAAATGTATTATTTACCGCTTTGTTACATTCTTGGTTGCACTTTTTGCACTTCTGTGACAATCTTTGAATTATACCATATACAGATTTGATTGTATTCAATTATTTGATGAAACAGCATACATTCATTGTAATCTTTTAGGTTTTAAACTTTGCATGTTTAATTTTTCTTAGTTAACTGTTACTAAGCCTCGATTTCGAAATCAAATGGACTCTGGTCTTGATTTTCCTAAAAACGCTTTAGGCGTACGTGTTGCCAATAAACAGCAGCGCATTAAAGAAAAACTCCACTTTTATTACCATTTAAAGAAGAATGAATTGCTTAAATGTCCCGCAACATGTTGCTCACTTGAAATAATGGACAGGTATTAAATATAGCTTTCTCAACCAACCCTGATGTGGATCAAATGATTTGTCCAAGACGCTGACAGAATTTATATTGGCAAGAAAAGATGGGTACCATGCTGATAATCTCAACAGGGGACAAACATTGCATCCATCTCAAGTGTCTGGATGATATAACTTAGATCAAATGTGATGAGCGTCAAACTTTTCCATTATGTTCTTCATAATTCAATAAAACCTAACCTACCTGTTTGAAAAGGTCATATACGCTTTCACCTCACTCTCCTGAACTTATTTGATGGTTTCGTAACAAATCTCATCCTCCATTCATCATGCTAGATGAGAGGTTGTCCCTCTTTCTCACCAAGTGTGAAACTCTCTTCGGCTATTTTTTCCACTAAAGAAACATAAATATTTAAAAAAAAAATATCTGCTTGAATAGCTTTGTAATTGAAGAGGATGGAAGAAAACGATTAGGCTGTTTTATTTTAGAACCGCTGAAGAGTTGCGTTTAAGCGCGCCTGGTGACAGTTTTAATAGCTCTGATGAAAGTTACTATTGCGTCGTTGCTATAAAAGAAAATTCGTATTTTCGGATGTTATATATTGCAGTGTAGGAGTGTTTACCTGCTTAAATTTATTAGGGTTTTTTGGTCTTTGGGTGCAATATATCAATAAGATGAATACTCTATCCTTGAACGCATGCCATAGTAGAATGTTATTGAAACTTTTATAATTACCAAAGCACCACCTACGCAATTTTTCATGAATAATGTAAAACTGAATTCTTCTTAACCATAAAACATACAAATGTTTATGTTACAAACATTTTTATGTTTTATTGTTGAGAAAAACACATAAATATTTGAAAACATACAAATGAATGACATAAAAGTTGGGAAAACTTTTCATCTTCAGTTAATTTCTTCATTTCTTCAGTTGGGAACATCCGGCATTGCATAAACAACGCGAAAAATCAATCCACTGAGTATAAAATAAAACATTTTACACGTTACTTAAAAGTTGTATAACAATGCCAAATTATGATCTATGTTACAAACAAATTATGATTATTATCTATATTATGATCTATATATATTATGATCTATGTTGACAAACAGCCAAATTATGATCAATGTTAATTTCACACTTTTAATAAGCATGATTATGATAAGAAAATCAATAAGTTTTATTTACTGCGCATGAGCTGCAAGTATATGGAACTCATGAAATAAGTTCCAAAAGTAGAGAAAACACGTTTAAAAAATTACAGAATAAGGAAAAAAGAGAAAAAGAAAATTATTTAAAAAAAATAATAATAATAAATAAGATCAATATTACGATACAATATTAGAAAGCACTCTTTTTTGCGGATATAATCGTTTGAGCTGATGAATGGATTATATCTTTTTTCCGGAGTCTTATTATTATTTTTTTTAATTATTTTCTTTTTCTCTTTTTTTCATTATTTTTTTCGCTTTGGTACCGAAGAATTGGGTGAAACTGCGCTATAAACTGGGCGCAAAAATGGGAAGCTAAGAGTTCATCTATATTTTAACTTTAATTATGATTTCTAATTTTAGTCAGTAATATAAATCAGAGCTATATAAAACACTTAAAGGATGCTTAATAATTTACACAGGAGAAGCACAGTAAGAAGTGGGCGGATTCTCCTACTACTACTACTACTACTCATCGACTCTACAGTCTATGAAGGACCTTGGCCTCCTTTATCACGCGACTCCTCTTTTTACGGTCCTTGGTCCTTATCCTCCAATTTTAGATAATCATTTTTTCTTTTTTTAGATCTCTCTCTACCTCATCGAGACATCTTTTTCTAGACCTTTCCCTCCAGTTTTCCTTAATAGATTTTCTTCGATATATTGTATTTTGAAAACTCAAGTAAATACTTTTATTTAAAACAAAAGAATATTTGTACTGCAATGTTATTAAATTAATTGAACTCACGTTGACCTTTACGAACTTCGTACAGTTCGTAACAGTTTCTTTGTTAACTGTTACGAAACGAACTCTGCTTTGCGTTTGTTTGAGGAAGGGTGAAACCTCTTCATGCCCCAGAGCAGTTTTTTGTTTAAATTCTGAACAAAGATGAGGAATGGATGAGGCAAAATATTTACGTTTTATCTTTAAACTCGGTTAACAGTTAACTTAGGTACGCCATTAAAGTAAAAGTTGACTGGTTGCGCATTTGCTTCAACCTTAAAAGGATTATAAGTTGAACCATTTTAAAATACAAATCAATTCTTTTTAAATTTGATAACACCATATCATCTTTCAACGATAGCGTGGTTCAATATGGCAACGTTGAATAACTTAAAGTGAGAGTATACGATATATTTTTTTTCTTGCTTTTAAAAATGATAAACAAAAGAAAAACTTGTTTTTACATATTGATTATCTATTACAAATAACCACTTCAAAATTCGAAAAAAATTGCAATATATTTTAAACTTGAAGTGTTTGAGGAATAATAACTTTGCATAATAATTTTTTTCCTATCGTTTTCTAGGTTATTGAATATAACATGAAAGTGGAATGCAAATGCCATGGTGTATCAGGCTCTTGCGAAACCAAGACGTGTTGGAGGGCATTGCCAAAATTTCGACTCGTTGGTTCCATTCTCCGAGAAAAGTTCGATCATGCAACTGAAGTACAACCACGAAGATCTGGTAAACGTAGCCAATTGGTGCCAATGAACGCCTATTTCAAATACCATTCGGATACCGACTTGGTTTTCTTGGATTCTTCGCCAGATTTCTGCGAGCGGGACTCACAGAATGAAACGCCTGGAACGTATGGGCGACAGTGTAACAGAACTTCTAAGAATATTGACAGCTGTGACAGTTTGTGTTGTGGACGAGGTTTTACAAGTAAAACTGAAACTGTGATGGAGAGATGCGATTGCAAGTTCTACTGGTGTTGTTTTGTGAAGTGTAGAGAATGTGAACAAGAAGTTGAATATAATTATTGTTTATAGAACGCAAAGAGTGACAATTTGCCACGTGATCTAAAAACCGTTCAGAATGTAAATAGTACTTACTTCATCGTTTGCTGGAAAAACTACCGTATTTCTCAACAAAACTGGATAAGGTTTTCAGGGCTACAGAAGATAAACATTTTGCAATGATCTGGATATCGTTCAGAAAGTTTAATCGAAAAGCCACTGACAAACCAAGACACCTTTTTCTATGCTGAAACCTTGCTTCATTTTACCATGGCTTAAAAATTCTTCAGAGTGTAAATACTTATTTCAACATTTATTGGTAGTATTAAGGGATTGACAATCTAATCAAGATAATGCTTACGAGAGATATCTTGCCAGGACCTGAAAACTGTTTAGGATGTAAATATTTATTTCAACATTTGTTGGAAAATCGTAGGATTTTTTGACAACTTAGGATGCTTTCTCTTGATGCGCGAAGTGCGTCACTTTAAAATGACCCGAAAACTGTTTAGAGTGTAAATACTTATTCAAACGTTTGTTGGTAAAACTGTTTAACTTTTTGACAACCTGAGCTAGTTTTTTTTTTTCAGGGCTATATGGAATTTTGTATACAATTGGTACAATGCAGCTTCTAATTCCAATTACTTACATGCATTTTCCAAGTTGTGTACAAAGCTTAGAGTTTTTAACTTCTTTCTGGAATGGTTGTGAGAAATAACTGTAATATTTAATAGGTCTCTGTACTTAAGACTTAAAGTTATTTTAACAACATTTTAATTCTTTTTTTCTAACCCGATTCTGTCATTATTAACATTTTGATGTTATTTTTTAAAGGTAAGATATATTTATTTTATGAATTAATTAAAATTCATCAGAAGAAACCATTTTTACCATTTTAAAATTAACGTAGGATAAAAAAAAATATTAACATAGATAATTCAAAAAAAATTAATCTGCTGGTTTTAAATGCATTTATTCCAACCAAAATATATAATGTCACACTCCTTGTTATCCTTCCAACTTTCGCAATTTTACAAATAACCTGCCTTCCATCAAACGTGACATCCTTTGTGTAAATCATTATTGATATTGTGACATAATTACCGATTTTCTACACATTCTAAAGTGAAATTTCTCAAGTTTATAAAATTTTCCTGCCCTAAGCTCCTCAAGTATCGGATAACAAATGGTTAATTGATCAGATGGCTAAGATGAAATTGTTAAACTTATCATGACTTTTTACTTCCAATGGAGAATATAATATTAATTTAAATAATATTATTTAAAATTAATTAAAATTTTTAACAAAAAAATAGTTAAAAATTAATTAGAAAATAAAAATTAATTAAAAATTTTATTAAAAGTTTTTAACAAAAGAAGATTATTTCTCCACTAGTTAAAATTTCTGATAAATAATTTTAACAATTCTTTTCATACATACTTTTTGTTAAAGATTTTTTTCAAATCTGATAAAACGAAACGTAATTAAAATCCAAATTCATTATGGAATTCGGTTTTTAGAAAATTGCATGATTTTTTTTTCTACCATAATAAATATGGTTTATAGAACAATAAGAAATCAAATTCATGCATAATTTTGTAATGAACTATCCCATTTGCAAAGAGGATAAATACTTTTAAAATTAGTATTAAAGAACATAAAAAATTGTTTTTCGATTGGTAAGATTGTATTGCAGTAGTAGTCATATGAAAATTATTTGATTCTAACAAATTCTTTAATTTAAAAAAAAAAAAGTGGAAATTTGCTTCTATATGTTTTTAAAATTTTGTAAAAAAAAAATTCTGATGGAAAAAATCTCAACATTTTTACAAAGTAGCAAAAAAAAAAAAATAATAATTAACGTTCTGTATTATGATGATTCTTTAATGCAGTAAATTTAACTTAAAATATAAACCTTATATAAACGTTAGTCCAATTTCTTCCGAACTTTATAATAGATTTCCTCCAACGACAGCTATAGATATATTTCTCTAATTTTTTATTATATGTATATTTTTCCTTCATGTTTCAAATACATGAAATGAACGATGTAGCTCGCCAGTATTTAATTTTCAGCATTTCAGAGAATTCACATTATGATAAAAATATTCTTTTGAAAATTTAAACTTACTGCGTAAAGAAATATATATTTGGTTAAAACTAATTTAGCGGCTTCTGTCAAAGAATTCTTTAATGATATGTTAGCAGTTATAAATGGATTAAAGTTAAATCAGGACATGTTTTTTTTTTTCCAAACTTTCATCTGCCCCTGAAAAACTACGAAGTTTTCTCTGTTGAATTGATTAATGATGACGAATTCGAAGAATGAATCATGTAATCCTTCCCTTAAACTTATTAATGATGGCGCCGATCGTTAGATAGTAATCTATTGTTTCTGATAAGAGTAATTAAACTTCTTTGATGACTTCTTTTTTTTTTAGATTGATAGGTCTTAAATCTTTAAAAAAATATTTATCATCGAAGTTTGGAAGGATCCGAGCTTGAAGCTCGCAATCTTTAATATCGTCGCAGAAAAAGTTCGAAAACAAATCTTTCTCTCACAAAATTTATCAAGACCTCCGAATCGATTGATAGTTCGTTCAGATTATATTTTTTCCCCTTCTTGGCTCTATTCGTGCAGAGCTGGTGACACAAGTTGGCTGATTGATGAATTGGCGAAGATTGGTCTTTGGGAACCCTTAAAAACCCTCTCTCTTCTTGCGGTTATAAATCACGCTAGGACAGTCCCTTTTACAAACTGCCTGAAGAAGTTGTTGTAACCAGTAGAAACTGATGATGCTCGCCCTGTCCAATATAACACCCTAAAAGATGAGGAAGAGCGATAAAAAATAAAAATTACAAAAAACTTTTCTGCTGAAACAATACTGCTTTTCTTCCCAGAAAACCTAGTTCGCGATAGATGATTGCCGCTGGAAGATAATTTGTTTCGAGAATTTCAACAAAGTTGAGAGAATGATGAAAAAATAAAAATCGATGTTTTGTTCCTTAGAAAATGAATGATCCCTTCTTTCAAACAAGTCCTTATTCAAATGATAAAAAGTTTCAATTTTTTAAAATTAAATGGTAACATGCCCAACGTTTGAAATTTGCAATCTAGAAAATGAATGCAGAAGATTAATGGTTAACATCTCACTTAATCACGGAAGGAAATCGTCTGCATCCCTATAGCATTTAAGAACAATTAATGTAAGAGATTAATCGTTTGCAAAAATTTATCGCTTGCATAATTAAAAAAATTCACTAAAACTTCAATTAAAATATCCTTTTGTGAAACTTTAAAAGAATAACTGAAGATTTATGAAACTAGATTACAGAACCATTATTGAGGTGTTCGCATTTACAATGCGTTGAAACCTGTGTTTCAAAGTTTGAAAAATAATTTGTTAAGGATTTATTATTTTATTTATTTATTATTAATGCCATATAAAGATATGAATTGAAAATTTTATGGTGTTCATTTTTAGAATAAAATTGCCTTAATAATCTAGTTTTATTAACTTTGTCAACTTAGGTCAAACGCCTTATTATTATAAAAATCATTCACTCTTTTTTGTTTTTAAATTATTGGATTTTTTCTTAATTTTAAAATTAATTTTAATTTTTTAAACTATTTGTTTCATAAAAAAAGACGGTTTTAAACTCAAGAATCTATTAATTTTATTTTCAGAAAAAAAATCATTCAATTGCTTTTCTGAACAAACAAGTTTTGTAAGCCATAACAGATTTTCGTCTTAGTATCAAAATATCTGTAAAATTTATCTATTGTCTCTTAACCATCCTATATTTAACTCAATTACACTTAATATTTACGAGAGTATCATCTTTCAAGAAACTAAAAATTATCACTGAAATTCGCTCAGGGAATCGGTCTGCAATTTTGCTTGTTTTTTTTCAGTATTACTTATTTTAATTTTTTTTTAAATTTTTTTAAATTGTTTTTTTCAATTTGAGCATTGTTTATATTATTATACATTATGCAATTTATTATACATTATTTATTTGTTCTTCCATTATTTTTTAGATTATTCTGAATATTTATTTATTATTACATTTTCTTAAATAGTAAAATAGACATTCAAATGTCAAAATTTAAATCAGATGATTTTTAATTAAATCGAACACTGTGAAGAATTAGATTAAAAACAATAATTGTACGCGGGAAAACGGTTATAGAAATAGTTCTATCCTAAAATAATGTTATCAAAGTTTTCTCAGAGAATTTTCAATATGCGAAAAGAATTTATTATCTAAGAATTTGTTATATCATTATATACGCTTATATAATGATATTTATTCATACATTTATGCTTTTTTTTTCTTTTTGCTTTAAAATGTTATGTTAAACTGGGTTGATTCAAGAATATTTGGTGCATAACACCTGTTTACACAGTTGAAAATAAATATTTTAAATTATACTTAATTCCGTATTTTTCTTATAATTTTCTGGGGCAAGATGCGAATCTTCTGACAAACTTAAATGGTGCCAATTCACTGACAGATATAAACTTTCAGTAACTCGAATCTCATGACTAGCTTAGATTTAAATAAAATTCATATTTCTTGAGACATGCCTGATCATTACTTCGAAATTTATGTTACTGTTTGGCGAAATTTTAATCTAAATTTCAAGAGAAATATTATAAATTTTTCTAATATTTTTTTCCTTCATAAATTTCATCTCTGAACTTTAAATTTAACTTAGTTACCATTATGAATTGTAAATAGTGTATTTTTTAGCCATGTAAGATTTGAATCAATAAATATTTATTAAAACTCATTCATATGTTGTATAAACTGATTATAAACAGTGAGTTTACACAAAAAATTTACTATAAATAACTTACTGTTACACTTTGGATGCCAAATAATTTACAGTAGATTTTCCGAACAATGAAATCTCCCTACAGCGAAATTTTTAATCCGAACGTTAAGTAACGAACAAAATATTCTTCACTTATAAGAAATGGTTTTCATTCCATTACGCATTTTTCTAACTTTCGAATTTGTATCCTTGAAAGCAAACAACTCAACGTAGAGGGACGGAAAATATCGCAAAACGATCAGAAAAGATATTAGCGATCCGTAAGAGAAAACGCCGTGCCAATCGGTGAATCCAATCTAAAGATATTAAGGAAAATTCACTCTGTAACGATGTTTTTTAACAATGAAATTTCATATTTTTGATTGCTTCCGACTTGAATGACGCCGGAAAGTGGCGATTGTTAACAAACCACTCCATAAGGATTAGAAACCTACAGAAAAAATATCAAATCAATACCTACGTTATCAATTTATTAGAGAACAACCATACAGGCAGATTGTCGCTCTTATATATAGAGAGAGAAGATCTTTCAGAAGAAAATTTATCCTAACCCTTTTCGTTATTTTGTTGACATTCGAAGAAAGCTGCGAACAGATATTCGATAGCAAAGTGTTGATTTTTAAAAAATTTCCATAAATCAGTCGTATTGCTTATGAAAACGCATAATTGTGAAAATGCAGATAAAGCATCTAAGGCTGTTGTTCGAAAACTCCTGTTAGTTTCTTTTTGTTATTTGAATATTAAAAAAAATTTTGGTCTTTACTAGCCAGGGCTCTCTATTGGAGAAGTACCGGGTCCTAAAAAATTCGAAATGAAATGTCAATGTTTGAAAATGCATCTTCGAGATTATTTTTCTTATACATATCTTCCATGACTAATTGTCTTATTCTCAAACTAATTCTTAACTGCCTTATTCTTAAACTTATTTTTATGGGCCAAATAATG